GAGAAGCAGAAGTCCTGCAGCTCATTATATATGCCATGATACTGTGAGTTCCAGGAGTATATCATGTCGTCAAGACGTGTGCTATGGGCATGTAGCGACACCGCGCCCAATTAGCACGCAAGTATGTCAATGTGCAGTCCTGTCTATCCCGAATCAGGCACATTGCGCCCCCGACGATCCTGGCGGTGCTCAGGCATGCGGGATGTCGCAGGCTTGGCAGTGTCCATCAGGCTGCAGTTTGACTCTGGTCTTGGCCTGGTCGCGGCCTGGTCTCGGTCCCTGATGGGCTGTGATGATCCGAGTCCGATAGTCTGCGAATAGCCGCCATGCGATATTCCCGATCCCTTTTTCAGCTTGCGGCCAGGTTGGCCCGCCACCGATGGTTCCTGGACCAATTAAAGGCAACACATTTCAGGCCGAGCAATCCGACCGTGATGATTCCATCAATCCACTAGCGGTCTAGCAGGATCTGGTTCACCAAATATAGACCTACTGGGGCTGGACCACAAACCAGGAAGGACTCCTGGAAACAGAGAGCCTCAACAGAGCTGATCATGATCCGCAAGCACGTTTCCGTTACAGTCTCCATCAATTGAGCTTAGTTTCAGCCACGGGACGAAGGCAACACCCTGTGATGGCTTGTTTCCGGTTGTTGATCTTCGCCAGTTGATCTTCACCATTCCTCGCCTACACTCTGTCTAAACCTTGGAAATAGCCGGTGTTTTTTTCGTCTTCGTACCTGCCGCTGTCGTCTTCCACGAGAAAGAGGGGATCCGTATCCCGAGAGCACCCGCCACGGCCCGCAGCGGCAGCCTCGTCCCGAGGAGCGCGATGATGGACAGGACGTACGTCACAGCGCAGAACCACTTTATCAGCGTCCAAAAGGCCGTCTGCGTCTCGGGAACGGTTTCGGCGTTGAATATGTCCATGCCGAAGAAGCTCTGTTACGTATTGTCATTGTTGTTGCGTCAGCACTGGGGTCTGGAGTGGAGGAAGGGGGGGGGGGATGCTGGCTTACGGCTACAAATGTCGGCGGGAGGTAGACAATGGTGACAATGGTAAAGACGAAAAGGTACTTGTTGAGCTCAAAGCTCTTCTGGGCCTCGACGACGGATTGGACATTGAAGAGCTACAGAGCCACGCTTGTTGTCAGCATTTCATCACACGCATTAAACTGTCGCCGAGGGAATGAATAAGGGCGCCTTGAAAGCAAAAAAAAAAACTTACACCATCCCGAAGACCTAGCACCTCATTCTTCGAGCGGTCGAGCCGGCGCTGTATCGCCTCGGCGGCGTCCCTGTGAATGCCCCGGACCACGTCCCAGTTGTGATCAAGCACCTTGAGTGTGTCCTCCGTGTGCCCGTACGTCTTGTAGAAGCCGCTGCCCAGAAACACCTCTGGGTTGTGTGTCGCCCGCGGCAGAGCCTCGAGAGCGTCCCGGACGCCCTGGACCGAGTCGGCAAAGACGCCGAGTAGCTGCAGGACCTTGAAGTAGAGCACCGACGCATCCGACTTGGTCTTGAGGACGAGTTTGCGCAGCTGTTCTGCGTTTTCGAGGACGTCGAGCTATTTCCCCACTCCGTCCAGATAGGTGGCATAGTTAGCAACCGCAAGGAGCCCAACTGCCAGAGTCAGCAACTGATGGGAAGGTCTCACCTGCACCGAGATCTTGCCGTCGATGGCGTCGATGGTCCGGAGCCAGTCCCGCTCCCAGCACTCGAGGAACGAGCAGATTTGGAGCTGCATGGCCGCGAGGCCTGTGTACAGACCGGCGGGCTGCAGGCCGTACCTCGTCCACGGGCGGTTGCGCTGCTCAAACACCCTCTCGTAGCCGGGCGCCTCGGCCCACACCTCGCTGCTGTCGTCGTCGGACGTCGTGTCGGCGACCGAGACGAGAGAGAAATGGCCAGCGGGGAAGTCAAGGGGCAGCATACTCAGCGCGGTTGAGTACCGCCTCTCGACGAGCTCGAGCGTCAGGCCGTCGTAGAAGCCCTGGAAGGCCGTCCGCTCGCGATGGCACCTTATGCCGGGGATTCCCTCACATGTGGCGGACTTGTTGGCATTTGTCGGGTCTACGACAATGAAGGACCGCAGGTGGAACATGAGAACGCCGTGGGATATGTGACCGGGAGTCTCGATGCACGCCATGGAAATAGCGCTGCGTCTGCTCTGGAACCTTACCACATCGTAGCAGAGGCCCCTGCAGCGCTCTCGCCACGCGGAAGCGTGGCCGTCAAGGAACGTGGCGCTCGGGGCTAGCGACAGGATGGCGGCGGCCGTGTCGAGGTCGATGATGCCGGGCTGTCGGCTTATCGAGCAAAGGCTGGTGATTCGGGCCGCGTCAGCAGGACTGACATCGAGCATAAGAACTGCAAGAAGCGAGTGGTCCAGGGGAATCGCTTACTAGATGGTACCGCATATAGGTAGTGTCGCCTCCTCAGCGACCGAAACACCGGGAAGGACCTGCACCATCCGGTGTTAGTACTATTGATGGAGTGAGTTGCAATGCCAAAGGTACTCACCTCGCCAGGCTGCGTCACGCCTGCTATGGCGTGGTAGTACGTAAACGGCTGGTCAAAAGGCCCAGCTGTCACCGTCACAGCGGTGGCCGTGTTGCCAGCCTCGGATGTGTCGGGCCGCCACCTGTCGGGCCAGACATCGTCGAGCTCCTCGAAGGCGACCCCGACGAGCTGTGCTCGGCCTTTCACTCTCGTCCACCTCTTGCACTTGTCTAGCGCGACCTGCAGGTTCGAGACCGACCCCCACCGCGTCCTCCTGCCGCCGTCAAACTTGGCCCGCCAGAGCGCCCTCTCCGCCCGGTTGGCGAGGCCCTTGATGAGCGTTGTAATTTCGACCTCGCTGGCTCCGACGCTGCTGGCCGCCTCGCCTCCTGGAGCAAGACTCCTGAGGAACTCGAGGCCGAGGTTGGCCTTGCCATCCTCGGCTGAGGAAATAGCCTTTGTCGCCCAGTACTCCTGGCCGGAGCCGTCCCAGGCCCTGACAGGGGGATCGGCTTGCCATAATTTTCGCGCAATGGAGGGGATATCTTTGTCGATGGTGCCGCCGTTGGCTAGCTCGAATGTTGCGGCAATCAGTTTGAGGATGCGTGCCTGGTCAGCCTGGATCTGCGTGAGCAGCTGGACGGTTAGACGCGCAGCATCATTGTCCTCGCCCAAAGCCGGATCTGGCGACATTACAGATTGCGGTTTTTGCTGCTTGTCAAAGATGGAGTTTCTAGTTGCCTCACGGTGAAGTGTCGACACAGGCCAGAAGAACGCGCACCCTCAGCAGTTGGAGCTTTTCTCTCGACAATCTGCGAAGGCTGTGCTGCCAGTGCCCGACGACTCGGCCGCCGTCTCAGCCCCTGGAAGTTGCAGGGAGGCGCGTCAGACGTGCATATGCCAGGGTGTACTATTGACATGCATATCTTCGACAAGGGGTGGTACAGCAGCCGAGCCTGCCTCTAGTGCTGGATACGCTGCGTGTTGCCATGTTTACAGAATTGTTGTTTAGAAGCCAGTCTACCGCGAGAAAATAATAATTTAGATAAAGTAAAACCTCTGGCGAGAACAACTTGGCAGTCGCCCCTACGTCAACGGGAAGAGAAAACCATGGTGCCCTGCAGGCTATCTTGTTCAAGTGTTAGTGCGAGAGTGACATGAAGAAAGTGAAATCGCTACGTAGTATTATGAATACAAGACCCTCCTACATCTTGAACAGCATTGGTCTGCCCTCTTTCAGCTTGATGCCCGCCCACACGGCATCCACCCTCGCCAGCACCGGCCCTTTGTCCCCTCCGTTGTCAAAGTGCCGAATCTCTCCTTCGACCTTGACCACCCTCCCCTTGACCTCTTTGATCCTCGCCGTGACGACCAGCGTTGCCGGTGTGGGCACGGGCTTGGCGAACCTCGTCGCCACGCTCGCCGTCATGAACAGGTGGTCCCTGAAACCCTCGACCCCTCTGATTCGGTTCACGACGGTGCTCAGCCCGGTGACCTCGTCCATGAGCGCCGACACGATGCCGCCCTGCAGTATCCCCGGGTACGCCTGCAGCCCCTTTTCCGTGCGCAGCAGGGCGTGCACCTCGTGCACCATCTCGGCCCTGCCGTCGGTCAGGTGCGACGCCGCGGGCGTGTACTCGACCTTTTGCGCGGGGGTGGCGGCCGCGGGGCTCCCTGCGGGCTCGTCCCAGTAGACGAGGAAGCCGGGGAGTGCGAGTTGTGTGTTGAGCGTGATGGCGAAAACATCGCTCGTCGAGGGGGCCCAGGTGCGGACGCCCGGCTGACTGAGGCGCGCGTCGCAGGCCGGGAACTGCGAGCGGAAGAAGGCCTCGTCGTCGACGCGCTCGGCCCGGGACGAGTCGAAGGCCGGGGCGTGCTCGAAGGTCGTGTACGTGGGCGTGGTGACGTCCTTGGGCATGACCATGGTGGGCAGTGTGGTATAATTCGTGACCGGGTCAAGTCGAGACTTGGAGGGCCAATGTTAGCCCTGGCGATAGAACACCTGTGGGGCAGAGGAGACGGAAGAGGAGAATAGGAAACGGTGCGGGGGCTCCTGTTAACTTCACACAAAGCTAGGTAGTGGCTGGATGGGTTTGGGGGAACCTTTTGAGGCCTGGATTCAAGGTTGTATTCAAGGTTGTGGAGTGCTTGAATCAAACCGGATCAGCCGGCCGAGAGTCCAGGGGCAGCGAGGCAGATGACGACTCGAATCTGCACGCGATGGTTGTGGTCGCTGCTGCAGTGCTCCTCCTCGGGCGACAAGATGGGGATATCCGAGGCTCACGGCAGACCGAAACACCGTCTCTCCGCACGCTTGTCTTCCCCGCACGCTGATGCTAACTATAAGCGGCCTAGAGACATTCCTGCCCTCGGCTTTACTACCAGCACGGATCATATTGCTCTAGCACGGCTTGGTGCTACCCATGCGCGTTTCAAAGCCGAGCTGCTGTGCATTTATTATATAACTGGTTAAACATACGTCCTTCCATCAAACAGGTCGGTTGTATAGTGTAGTTGGTTATCACATCGGATTCTGATGAATTTCCAATTCGTAGACTTCCGGGGACCTGAGTTCGAATCTCGGTACGACCTGAATTGTGATTTTTTGCTTCCTTTTTTGACCCCCTTGATACCGCACGTAATCAGCCTGTGAAGTGCGTGGCCGAGCCTGGGATTGTCTCTTGTCTTTCTTTTTGTGGCACGACATGACGTGTGTGCGCCGGCCAGCAGGCCAACCGGAGGCTGTCTATATTTAGCCGCGTCGCTGCATGTGGCGAAGCTGCCCTCCTGGGCGCGGAGCCCCTGAAATGATGGGCTGCCTTGCTTATGCCGGCCGGCACAAGTTGCCTCTTTGTCTCGCTGGCTCGACTGGCTCCATACTTGGTAGTCGCGACATATACGGTACACGCTCTCCCCACGCCTATTGTCCCCTCATCTGCGAGCGCCATCATCCATGGCCCGCAAGGGCACCCACAAGGTCCGCACGGGCTGCCTGACGTGCAAGGGCCGCAAGGTCAAGTGCGACGAGGCCAAGCCCGCCTGCGCGCGGTGCGTGCGGGCCGGGCGGCGGTGCGACGGGTATGGGCAGCCACAGCTGCAGGCGCGCGCGGGAGTGGAAGCGGCGGCGTCAGCGGCGGCGCAAGACCCGGGGCAGGCCGAGTGGTTCGCCCGGCCCCGGAGGCTGCTGGCCCACGCCGTCGACCCGGCTGAGGCGCGAGCGCTGCAGTACTACTGCCAGGCGGCCGGGCCCGTCCTATCGGGCCCCATCGACCCGGACTTCTGGGGCCGCCTCGTCTACCAGTTCAGCGCGTTCGAGCCCGCCGTCCGCCACAGCGTCGTCGCCATCAGCTCGCTCTACGAGAAGCTTGGCCAGAACCCCCGCGGGCCCATGGCCGTCCTCGACGACAGCTCCCTCGCCCTCGGCCACTACAACGCCGCCATCGGCCAGCTGCGCCGCTCCGACAACCAGCCCCTGATCGTCCTCGCCTGCCTGCTCTTCATCACCATCGAGGTCCTGCAGGACAATACGCCCGTCGCCATCCAGCACTGCCGCCACGGCATCCTCCTGCTCAACACCATCGCCGACCGCTACGCCTGGCTCCGCGAGTTCCTCGTCCCCATCTTCCGCCGCATGACCCTGCTGCCCCTCTTCTTCGGCACCTTCCCGGACGACTTCCCCGTCCCTGTCCCCGTCTCAGCTCGTGACGGCAGCATGCCCTCACGACTCACCGCCTTCGAGTCCCTCGCCGAGGCACGCGACCACATGTGGGATTGCATGATCCACTCGATGCAGCTCGTCCGCATGAGTGAGCCCTATCGACAGCTGGACCACAACGACATCGAGACTGCCGTTGGCGCCACCGCCGCGGTACCACCGGACCTCGTCTCGGCCCAGCTCGCCAGCCACGCGCAGCTCGACCGGTGGCACACGGCCTGGCAGGGCCTCATGTCGCAGCACCCGCACACCGGTGACGGCGACGCCCTCACCCGGCGGCCGCTCACGCGCGTCAACATTGCGATCCGCTACGCCGTCTGCCGCATCTGGACGGCCACGGCGCTCGACCCGACCGAGACGTGCTACGACGCATACGCGGGCGTGTTCCGGCAGTGCGTCGACCAGGCCTCGTCCTTCCGCCACACCCTGCCCGCCGAGTGGCACGCCGCCAAGCGCGGAATCAAGTTCATGCTCGAGATGGGCTACGCGCCCATGCTGTACTTTGTCGCGCTCAAGTGCCGCGACCTGCCCGTGCGGCTGCGCGCGCTGCAGCTCATGCTCCTGCTCGGCTCGCCCAGGGAGAACCTGTGGGACGTGGCGGCCATGTACGCCCGCGGCCTGCGCGTCGTCGAGGCCGAGCACGGCGTCGCGCTGGACCGCGAGCTCGACCCGTCCCCGATGAAAGAGGCGCCCGCTGTGCTGACACCCGCCGTCTGGCCAGGGCTGCCGCCCGAGGACTGGCGCGTCAGGGGTATGTGGACCGACTACAAGGCCCGCGAGATTGTGCAGCTCAAGACGGCCGTGGCACGCGGAGCTGCCGGGTCCGGCGTCCTTGGGAGTCGCGGTGTTGTCGTCGGCCCGGGAAGCCCGGCGACGTCGTCGTCCTCGATCGCTGCGAGTCACGCTGGAGGTAGCATCAGTAGCAGCTGCTGCACCAGTCCGGCCTCGCTGCCGTCGCCGCCCGCTGCCACCGGTGGCGGGGGTGATGATGGTCGCTGGGGAGCAGAGCCCCGAGTGGTGGTGGTCGGCCAGAGCAAGCTGTCCACGCCAACTACGCCGGACATGTGAGTATGTACGGCCAACTTTGGCCTTTCTCTGCATAATAGACAATCACGCATGAATCAGATACCCAGACATACGAAGAGCAAAAAGCCTACCTTGATACAACACTCCATATTTCCCCCTCTTTGCCATTTGTATAGTGGCATTTTCACCTGTTTTAGCAGCCATGTCTTTCACACAAATACTAGGTGTTTAGTCGAGAGGACGAGCCAAGCAAGCGCAAGAGAAGACAGCTCTCGGTGTGTAAATCCCATGGCAACGGGGTGCGTTCCTCGAGTGTGTGTCCTCGGCCACACAACATTTGTTTGTCTTGTGTTAGGTAAGGCTCTCGTAAGAAGAGGTGGCCCGAAATGACACTGGAGATGAACGCTCCCAATAGACATCAGAAAGGCAAAGCCATATAATCAAATAGATCCACGCTCGTTCGAGGAAAGTTTCCTCTACGGGTGCATATTTGCGTCTAGGCGGGGATTGTCTTACGTGCGACGTTGAAGGATCTCCCCCGCCCTGCGTCAGGTTGCTCTGCCGCTCTAACGAATGCACACGAAGCCTGCGTACTCGGCCTTTTCGCTGTGCAAGAGTCCTATTCTCGAGGCCGTTTGAGTCACGTGAAACATTCAAAGTCCAATTTCAGCAGGCCTCGCCAATCGTTGCATTTTATGTTCGGCTAAAGATACATCTTGATGGGATGGACCTCCGAGATGTAGCATCACCTGCGACTCGAATTTCGTGTATCCGCCCTGCCCGAATACCGCCTACTGTCTACCGACAAGGGGCTTTCACACGCCACTGCCGGCTGTTTGCTCAGACCTTCCGCCTCGGCATCCGAAGAATCCGGCCTCTCGCTCAAGGAATCGAGGAGCATCGCGTGCTGGACTGGCGGCCCAGCCACTCGGTCTAGATCCCTCGTAACGATGACACTGGCGATGCCGCCCTCTTTGCCGCTGTCGCCAGCCTGCGCATCTTGCCCAGGCGGGAGCCCGGTGCTGAGGTCGTCCAGCTCGACAAAGGACCTTTCGTCGCGCCGCCGCGAGCGCACGGTGAACTCGGACTTGACGCGGATGTGCGGCGGCTCCGTATGCGACATCATCTGCCCGCTGCTGCTGCCGCCTCCTCCCGCGCCCCCTGGACCGTACTTGCTCCCGCCGTAGTAGTGCTGCTTGACGCTCGTCCCGCCCGAGCTGTTCCCAAAGACCTTGGGCAGGAGCTTGTTGAGGACGACGCGCATGGCGGGCAGGCACGCGCAAATGATGCCCACGCAGGCTTCGATAACACTCCATACCCCAACGGGGAGGAAGCCCTCTGTTATTAAAGTCAGCCTATACCATTGGAAGAAGGCAGGTGAAATGAGAAAGGGATTTCGTCTTACGAGTCACGTTGGTTGTTTTTGCGAGGATGGCAATGGACTGAAGCCGGATCATCGAAACAATGGTGACACTGAAAGCATAAGGGGGTTAGCCTGCATGAGAAGTCCACAGAGTACCACGCCAGACTCACAATAGACCCAGGCCGAACATGATCATGACATGCGTCTTTTTCCTGGTCGACATGTTGAGCTTCCATAGCGCCGGCATGGGCAGGGCGAGCGTCGCCACGTCGAACACTATGCACAGGAACGCGGCGGCCCACACGAGCGACGAGAGGTTGATGCACTTGGCCTTGACAGTGCCGTCCCAGGCGAGCCAGGCGCCGGGAATCGGGTCGCACTGGAAAATGATGGCGAGCGTTGTGGAGATGATGTAGCCGGCGTTGCACGCCATGAGGAAGTAACTGCCATAGCGGACCGTCTTGTTTGGGAAGATCTGCAGGTAGAACGCGAGGACCGACATCTTGGTTAAGCCCACGATGACCGAGTACAGCAGCTCAGCCCAGTAGATCCAATAGAGAACGTTCGATAGCTCGTCGCCCGTGAGCCACCACATGTCGCGGCCAAGCCCGGTGTAGCTGATGATGGTGCAGACACTGGCGAGTGCCATCGTCGCGACCACGGCAGGCACAATGAGCCAGTCGTCCAGCCGCCACGAGGTGCGCAAGCCGTTCTGCCACCTCGCCAGCACGCGCACGGCGAAGCACAGCAACGCAAGGCTGCCGAACAAGGGCGCGATGATGTTCGGGATGTTCGAGTTGTCGACAATTGGCCTGTCGCAGAGGACGTCGGAGAATTTCTTCATGGCTGTGTCCACGTCGGGCATCAGTTAACGATTCTTTCTGGAACAGAGGCTGCGGGATTGTTAATACCAAGTGTTTCGCGGATCGAGCAGCTGCCGAGGACGCAGGCACTGAGGGCGTCATCGACTGGCTGGTTTGAGCAGAGACACGCCGTGTTGGCTATAGACTTGCATACCGACGCGCTGACGACCTTGACGGCGCATTGGAGCTGATGGATGCACAGACAGGCGCTATCAGTACCTTTATCGAGGACGCGAGTCTGGCGGAATGCCGCGCACAACAGCAACTTACACCACAGGCAGGAACCTCAGCAAGGGACATGGCAGTCGCCATAGTTGCCCAATATGCTGCTGCCACTGCCATCGACCATGTTGAAAGCCTCATTGTGAGTTTGAGTGACGCCGAGCCGCTAGGATCTGCTGGCGGAATTACGCTGGTGATCGGCGACTATGGCCAGATGCAACCATTCCATCGGGTGTTGTTGTTGTTGTTGTTGTTGTTGTTGTTGGCTATGTGCATTTGAGCCCGACTTCTCTGACAATTACCGTAGAGCCAGTAGTCAGTCGCCTACCATGTGGCTGGACCAGGGAGAACTCTTCTTCCTGGCCGTTCATGCACGTACTCCCTTCGGGGCGATCGGAATCTC